ATTTTCTGCAAATGAATAATCTTTTGCACCTCTTTTTCGCAAATAGAGACACGTGGACCAAGATGATATAATGATGAATTTTTTCACAAAATTTTCCGTTTGGTTTCATCATTTTCTCCCCCTAATTTTGGGAAAAGTGTCTCATCGAATCGACAATCTACAAATCGAGCAGTGAACAAATCCCATGTTAATGTTTCGAGGTAGCGAATAATGGAGGGCGATTCAAACCCAACATATATTCCTAACCTTCTTTGGGAACCCATTTTGGTGCGATATGATGATGCTATAAGCACATATACTGCGCATCCAAAAATTCTTAAATGCGATATATTAGGTTCATGACTCAAAACTAATTGCAACGCGGAATATTTATGATAATTTATCGGTATGAGACGAACTAGCATTGTTGTATGCAAAATGGCATGACCCCAAACACAAGTGGGCAACCTCATTTTCATGAGTAACGGTCTTGCTTCCAATTGTAGACATTTTATTAAAGAGTCTGCAAGGCCATTTTGAGTGTGAACATGAGCTACTGGATATTCCACTTTTATCCCAATTGATAAGAAATAATCATTAAATATTTAGGATAAAAACTCTGCAGCATTATCAAGTCTAATAGACTTAATTGGATTATCGAGAAATTGTGCCCGTAATCGAATTATTTGTGCCATTAATTTTGCAAATGCTAGGTTGCGAGATGACAATAGGCACACATGAGACCATCTAGAAGATGCATGCATTAAGACCATAAAATATCTAAACGACCAATTAGGTGAGTGAATAGGTCTACAAATGTCCCCTTGTATACATTCCAAAAATACAGGGGACTCAAACCCAATCTTTATTGGTGATGGTCTAATAAATAACTTGTCTTGATAACAAGAAGTGCAAGAAAATTCATTATTTTAAAAAATCTTTAAATTATTTAATGGATGCCCATTTGAGTTTTCTATAAACCGTCTCATCATAATTGATCCAGGATGTCCCAATCGATCATGCCAAAGTACAAAAGTATCGGAAGAAGTGACCTTTTCGTTTACGATAGAATGTGCCTCAATTACACTAATTCTTGTCCAATACATGCCACAAGATAAAGATGGGAACTTCTCAATAACCCTCTTCTGGTCAGAGACATTTTTGGTAACGATGAAATATTCAAGATAAATCCCATCTATTGTCTCAATATGAAATTCATTTCGGCGAAAATCTTTAAAACTCAACAAGTTCTTCTTGGACTTGGAGGAGAACATTGCATTCTCTATGATAAGTATTGTTCACTTAGGCAGAGTTATAGTAGCTCTTCTAGAGCCTTCAATTAGATTACTACTATCAGAAATTGTAGTAACATCTGCCTTACACATACTTAAATGAGAGAAATATTTCTTCTCTTTGAATATTGTATGTGTCGTACATGAATCAATTAAAGAAATATTTTTGTAATTGAACTTTGATCCAAGTTTGCTTTGAGAGATATCCATATTTGCTTCTCATGGTTTGACATACAAAATAAATATACGAATAAACATTAGTATATTCTTGTCTATTAAAGATATTCGTGAATTTATTCTAGCATTTTAACAAGGAATTTTTTTTTGAATGAATGGATATGCTAATAATGAGAAAGATAAGGACATTTAGTATAATTAAATACCTTACACCTAAATGACATGGTGTGAAATTGTCATTATTGAATACAACTACAATTACACTGTAAAAGACATATACTTATTTGCAAGAGTTGGGAGTTTAAATAGGCTGCAGCTCTATAGTTTCTTATGGAATCACACTAGGTATAAGAAACTAGAATTGGATAGACTTCTAATGGACATATCCAGTTATAACTAAGTTAGCAGATAAGACATTTAAATATTCCCATTGTACGAATCTAGTTCCAAGAAGCTGATGCACCAAGTTTCTAAATTACAATTGTGGAATAGATTGTATACCAGCAACTATTCTTCTCAGAGTTGGCTTAGAAATATGTTTTACCATCTGCATTTCATTTGAAGAATGGCAGACAACGATTATTACTTTAATAAAGAATATGACAATCCTTAAACTAAGCAAACTAAAAATATTGTTTAAAACAAATACTAGAATTATATTTAATCAAAACGAACTAACACTGTTTCATAAAATAAATAATATCAATTAATACTAATGACTACTACTCATGTAAAGAACTATGATTACATGATGTTCATTCACTAACTACTACGAATAGGTAAAAATAAAAATCAAACTACTCAATCATTTTTAACCACGGATCCATCACCGATCAAGTGGTCTATTTTTCCATTAGGGTGCTCAAAAAAGTCTGCCACATCTAAGTGGGTGATGTCAAATGCATTGTCATAGACAAAATTAGCTTCAGGGCCTTAATTCTTTAGAGATGCTTGATAAAGCTCAACCAAATGTCTTGGTGTACGATAAATATTTGTCTAATGCCCTTTTTCACCGCAACGATAGTATTCAGTTTCTGAACCATTTGCCTTTGGCTTCTCATCTTTCCCTTTTCACTTTTGGTGATTATTTTTCTTTGGGGGATGATTAACACCAGAAAAATTTCTTCTTTGTCCATGGCCACGACCACGAATAGAGCCACGACATTTTTCACGCTTAGTATAATGGGAATACGCCTCATCCACTTCAGGCAATGGTGTAGACCTAGTGGGTCGATTATCATGATTTCTCATGAGCAAGTCATTGTTTCATTCAGCCACAAGGAGAAGAGAAATTAACTCATAATACTTCTTGAAACCTTTCTCTCGGTACTGTTGTTGCAGGACCATATTGGAGGCATGAAACACTGTGAATGCTTTTTCAAGCATATCATAGTCAGTGATACTATCTCCACAGAGTTTCAATTTAGAAGTAATTCTGAATATCGCCGAATTGTATTAAAAAACAGACTTAAAGTTTTGGAGCCTCAGATGAGCCCAATCATATCGTGTTTGTGGAAGTGTGACCAACTTTAAGTTGTCACATCTTTTCTTTAAGCAATTCCACAGAACAAGTGGATCTTTGACTATGAGATATTCTATTTTCAACCCTTCATCAAGGTGATGGCGCAAGAAAATCAAGGCCTTAACATAGTCTTGGGTAGGTGCTTATTTTTATCTTTAATGGCGTCTCCACAACACATTGCATCTAAATGAATTTTAGCATCCAACACCCATATCATATAGTTCTTGCCCGAAATTTTAAGGGCAACGAACTTTCTTTTCATAATATCAGTCATAATTAAAAGAGGAGAAAAATTATACCTTAATCTTCTCAAAGAGCTTCTTGAGACAGTAGAGTCTCGTGCTGATAACGTGAAATAAAATAATAAGGAAAAGAATAATATTGCAAGGAAAAGAGAGAGGTAATTCTTATTGATTTTGGGATGATTTATAATGGGGCAAAGTCCCTCTATTTATAGGGAAAAAATAACTTAGCCACAAAGTAACAAACTCTCTAAAAGATAGACATTCACTCTAAGTACAATTCTATTCATAACAAGATCAATGTTTTTTTCGATATTTATAATTGTTTAATGTAAAAATTAAGAAACTATACTTTGTTAATTCTTCTTTCATGGAGTAAGAAATCCAGCCATTTTAAGGTGGTATTTCACGAATTGATTGGTAAACTATATATTTTTACAAGTAATTTACATTTTTGGGTAGGCTCGCTTATCATACTTTGGGCAAGTGTTAGGAATTAGGATATCTTATATATTAACTTATCCCAAAGTAGCTCACTATTATTTGTTCTAATAACAACGTATATGTTTCAGTTTGTGCGCATCTCGATTATTTCACCAAGTACATATTACCTCTTACCTCTCACTAAGACCGATAGAAAAAAAATCATCTAATATTTATGGCAGAATAGCCTAAATGACACATATACTTGTGCCACTTTGTCATGCCGGTCCCCAGACTTATTATTTTACCAAGTGAACACTTACACTCGTTCAAACCATGTATAATAAATGCTTATGACATGAGGCCGATCCTATATGTCATATTTGACTTTAGCGCGTGATCCACATGCCTGTAAGGAGCGTGATGGCAGTTGAACAAGCCCTAACGGTAATATTGTGGCCTATTTAACAACCATCTTCTTTATTCTACCTCATTCTCTATTGTTGAACATGATAGAAGCTGCTTTCTATCCAAATCTGATGCCTTCTTCTTTCTCGTGTTAACTTCAACAGTCAAAAATAAAATTTCTTTGCTGAGATTCTTCATTGCCCATCAATTTCTGCCATCTCATTTTCTTTTCAAAGTCTATTTTTTTCTTCTTCTCTGGTAAGAAATAAGCTACTGTCGCGTCTTCTTCTTCAGCAATGAAGAAGGAACCTTTGTGTTATTGTGGAGTTATTGCAGATCTTAAAATGTCACGAATACCCACCAATTCCGGAAGAAGGTTCCTAGGATGCCGAAGATATGAGATTGGTGAAGGTTATGGCTTTTTCCGATAGGTTGATCCTGTGATTGAGGAAGAAAACTACAAGTCTCTTCTTGCGGGTCTTATTAAAAAGAGTGATCGGTGCCATTGTCAGAGAAGACAGGGAAGGTCGAAGTTCAGAGTTGCTGCTATTATAATTGCGGTTGTAGTTGTTCTAATGTTAGATCTTATATTATGTGTTTAGGATTGATAACGTACTTTGTTATTTCTTGGGTTTAGGCTACATATTTTGTGTTAATGTAAAATTTTGTTCATGGAATATATTGACAAAGGGAACATTCAAGTCGAAAAATTGTAATTTCATTACAGCAACGGTACTTCCACTACTAATATCATTATCTATTATAGGTAGTTAATAAAACATCCAAAATAATGAAGTTGCTTTACAAAATATTGTCTACGATAAGCATTTAATAAAAACATCCATAATGAAGTAGCTTTACAAAATATTGTCTAACATATGCAGCTAACAAAAATATCCATCATTAAGTCTTCAAAATATCAGTTGATCATTTCAATTAATGCCTGTTGTGGCTTGGTGTGGATTGTGTCTTTGGTGTGGCTTTAGTGGTTGTAGCAGAGTTTGCCCTTCTGTAACTCTGTTCTTGCAGCTGTCGTTGTGTAACTGCAACTTGACCCTTCCACTTTAGTCCAGGGGGTTTGAACCTAAGTTTAATGTTAGTAGGGGCAGAACTTATGAGTGTAGAAGTATTGTGTACCACTCTGTCAGTAGTTCCAGACTGCACAAAGATAAAAGGTTGTGAGTGAGAGATTATCTAGCAAACCATATATGTTAACTGTGTGATTAAGCGGAAATATTTACCCTCTGTATCGCAGTGCTACTTGAACCAAATGGCAAACCATATCCTGCTACCTTTGGTCTCTTAAACCTTGCATTTGCACCACCTCTTCTAGGCTAATTGGTCTTCCTTTTTGGACCTTCACCAATATTAGTTGATTGTTGTGTGCTTGAATCAGTGTTTGGTTGAGTGAAGGTGCCACTTTCCACAGTTCCAGCTGTTGTTGTTGTTGCTGCACTTCCAGCTACTGTTGATGTATTCTCATTAGTTCTAGCCCTTCCATCTGTTGCTATTGATGATACATTTTCAGCAGTTTCACCTCCTACTAAACTAGTTACAGCCCTTCCACCCTGGGTTCTCTGATACACATTAAAAAACAAATATTAGTAATTGAATTCATCTGATAATGAGCACATAAGAATATTCGCTTTAATACTTACAACAATTGGACATCCTTTCTTGTTATGTCCAAGAGTCTTACATAAAGAACGTCTCATTTGTCTCCCTATCCTTGTACCCTTCCCAAACTTCTTCTTTGGTTCATCAGCATCTTTTCTCCTTTTTTTCTTTGGCCTTCCTGGCATTGCATTTATAATAGGTGGCTCAATAGCTTGCAGTGGGTTTTTTGGCCACAAATTCATACTAGTTAAAGGTTGAATGAATATGTTGTATGCCTTAAGGTAGGTGTCCTTCCTATACCAATGGTCAACATATGGATCAACCTCATAGTTCTTATGATGCATTGTTGTAATTGCATGTACACATGGAATTCCTTTGAGTTGCCATGACCTACAAGTACAGGAACACCTCCTAAAGTCAACAACATGTTTATATAGCCCATCCTGGATCTCATACCCTGTTTCACCATTAAATTTGACTTCACATTTGGCTACCCTTTGAGCATTCTCTCTAAGTATTTCCATAGCCATGGGTGATATATCACCTACCCAGTTTTCAGAAAACTCTCATATGCTATTCAACCTCTCCATACACTTGATTCTAATTTCCTCTAACATAGTAATGATAGATTTGTACCTAGATGCCAAAATCCAACTATTGAATGTCTCACACATGTTGTTCTCCACTACATCACACTTACTATGTTCTTTAAAGTATGCCCTACACCATGTCTCCTTGTTGTATTTCAATAAGTATTGAACAATATCTGCTTCCCCCCCCCCCAGCAAGTCCATTTTATCCAACTTCTTGCTAAAGTAAACTTTAAATGTAGCTCTTGCACACTGCCAGAATTTTTTCCTTCTTTTCTCACCAGGCCAAGTTTGCTTCCAATTGGCCCAGATATGTCTAGCACACCACCTCATCTCAGCATTTGGCAATAACTGAGTTATTGTTATATGAAGACCCTACAATCAATAATATTATATTGTTATAACTTAAACATAAATGAAAACAATTACACTTTAAAGACAAAGTGTTAGAAACCATACCTTCTGCATATCACATATTACTGTCAGCCCTTCTCCTTCAGTTTCTGTCAATTCATGCTCAAGACATCTGATAAACCAAGACCATGTATCCTTGGATTCCTTTTCAACTACTGCCCAAGACACAGGGTATATTTGATTATTTTCATCCTTCGAAATGCAGGAAAGCCGTTCATCTTTACATATTTAGGAATGCACCATCAAAGCCAATTATGTTTATGCACCCTTCTAACCATCCAATTTTTAATGCTTCAAGACAGATATAAATGCACATAAACACCTCCTTTCCAGGTTCTGCATTCTTGGATGTCATTATCACTACAGTAGTGCCATGATTAGTAGACTTTAGTATTTCAGCAAAATCATGAAGCCTAACAAATTCTTTCTTGTTATCACCCATTTTCTCCTTCATAACTATCATTTTTGCCCTTCAACAGGAAGTTTTACTCACATACAGACCATATGCTTTTCTAATTAAGGCTTGAATTTTATGAAGCTTAATTTGAGGCTCACTGATTATTCTGTCTTTGAAGGTTTTTGCAATCCATGGTGGATTACACATGTTGTTTCTTGTCTTCTTGTAGCATTTGTAGACATGGTAGTATATAATCACCCTAAAATTCCTGGTGCTACCTTTTATGCTGTCAAGAATATGCCATGGACAACCTTTCTTTGTGCACTTTGCCCTAACCATTTCCCTCTCATTAGGTTTCAACTTAAGGTTCACACCTTTTTTAATAAAATAGGTTTGCAATGCCTCCCTAAACTGTACATTATTCTCAAATATCATATACAGTTCAAATAATTTTTTTTACAACTTGTGTCAAAGTAGACCTTCTTACTTCGATTCCTAGCTGGTGTATCCCTTATTTTATCAGGGCCAACAAGTTCTCTTTCATCATCACTACATTCACTACCTGGATTTGAGCTGTCAAAATACTGGTCATCCCCTCCTAGTTTCCCTTCATATTTTTCTCTTTTGTTCTTATGCATATTTTCAAAACCAGAATCTATACCAACAGGACTAGATGGTATCTCATCTACATTTACTTGAGATTTTTTTTTGTATGTGTTGATTTTAGACTGTCTAATTTCAGCTAAGTCATCTTCCAGATCACTACAATCTTCAATGTTCTCATCTATATCAAACAGTGAATCATATTCTTCAGAATCTTCAAAGTCATCATCAAAATCAGATTCTGATGTTTGAAGGTGATAGGATGAGAAGTTATTACCTTCACCTTCATCTGATTCTTCTATCTCTCCATTTATATTCTTCTATCTCTCCATTTATATCTTCCCCCTTACCCTTATCTTTGTCATTTTCAGTCCTATTTATATCATTGGTGGGAGGTGACACATCAGCCCTAGCATTTAACCCATTGTCATGCCCATGTGTTTGTGGAGTGGGGTCCGGTTCAGTCATGTCCTCGGCAAGAATAAGATTACTAATTATATGGACAATACAAACATCAACAAAGTCACCATCTTTCAATGTATTAAGAAACTTTAACACATCAGCATCTGTTTTTAAAATGTACTAGCCACCCCTTTTGTTAACTTTGCATCCAAGTAAATTAACTTTTAAAAACACTAAGTCCCTAGCAAACTTGTGAAACAATATAATATGCAGCTCATCAACATCAACCGTAGCTAATTGAGGACAAGTTAGTCCATTTGCATACCTTAGCTCAGGATCCGATACAAAATTACCATTGTGGTGGATTTGTAGGTTAACTAGGCTTGAAGCCATTTTCTTATCATACCTGCAAAGTAACAAAAAACAGTGTTATTAATAAATATTAGTTGTCAAAAGTTGCACATTTACATAACTCCATAAACAAACCAACAAAAAAGACAGATTTTTAAAGTAAAAAAACTTTCAAGATTCCTTTTTCGTCCCCACAATACCCTATAATATTCAGAAATACACTGGTGGACCACTAACAAGAACGAGATCTAACAAACTTTACAAAAAAAAATGCATAAATCTAAGATAAAATTCTAATTTGACAAAAAAAATCCAATAATTAAACGGAATAACCAAATATGCCATAACATGCATAACACTACATTAAAAAGAGTTTTCACTTCAAAATATAACGAAACATAGCAAAATCCCCATATATTAAGGAAACTTAAATAATAATCAGGACCTAACCTAGTCTTCCCCTAAAAATCCTAAATCAACGAGGAAAATGAAGATCAATAAAGACAAACGATGAAGAACAGATGAAGAAACTTAGTTAACAAAATCGATGATGAAAAATCCCGGCAACGATGATGGAGAAGAGAGGGAGACAGAAGAGGTTCGCTACTTTTTAAGCCCTAAACTAATCGGGTAAGTATAAAATGAGGGAAAATTTTGGGTTTGGGGGTTAAGTATAATTCTACCGGTACTAATAAATGACCTGGAGCCTACGTGGATTAAGTATATTGACGTGGCGTCCTACACGTGGGAGATTGTATAACACGCACTGGCAACCTCCTGTCATAAGCGTTTATTATATATGATTTGAACGAGTGTAAGTGTTCACTTGGCAAAATGATAAGTTTGGGAACTGGCATGACAAAGTGGCACAAGTAAAGGTGCCACTTAGGCAATTCTGCCAATTTTTGTTTATTTCTACTGGGATTTTTAATCCAAATCTCCCATAGCTTTATCCATTTCATTGACAATTAAGCTATACCCTCAAGTGGACAAGGTCACTATTTTACATGAATGCTATTGCAAAAAATTTCAACTTGTCAAGTTCACAAAATTATACATGATACAACTGTACAGACAAATATATAATATAAAAAACAAAAAAAATGACTGCCCTTTATTTTGGGCACATTATTTCATACTTTCACATTTGGGGCATCCACCATTTTTTCAGGTTTGCAGAGGAAAGACCAATTTCAGAACAATTGACCAAGAAAAGAGCAGAAAGTCCTCCAAATCCTTTTGCTCCATTCTTCATTTTCTTCCATAAATCCAGCTGCTTGTGGCTCTATACCTACCATTCAAGTTGCTATATTTTCTTTCAACTTATTTACTCCTCATCACTAAACTCCTTTACTATAAAATCAACTGGTAAAAATCCTTTAGGAACTGTTGACTCTAGTGCTTCAAATGAGTTGTTAATGTAATATTTATCCTCATAATCCTCATCACTCATCTCATCGTCGCTGTCATTGTCATCATCATCACTACCTTTCCACATCACTCCTGACTGTTCAGGTATATGTTTCTTGGACAATACCAAAGCAGGATATGTGTGCTCTGTGGCCTGGGAAATGTTATCGAATTCCTCCACCTTGTTCAATAGATCATCAGGTTTGAGATCAATCTCTTCTAGTAATAGTGCCTTGCCTGAACCGACTGCATTCTTCCAGAGGGACATCATTTTAGGGCTTGAGCTCACTGTTTTCGCGTCTGCTTTAGAACGATCTGTGGCCGTGCCTGCATTGGTGGAGTATAACAAACATATAAATACTATAGCTAGCAAAAACAGTTTAGAGTCTGCAAAAAAGAGGAGGTCTAAAGTTCGAAGGAGGTGAGGGTAATAAGCAAGTATAGTATTTCAATCGAAGCGTGGAGTTGCACAAAGAGAAACTTAAATGGCAGGCCACTTTAAGCAATGTAAACAGTGACGAACATAGACCCGTGGCCAAAACCTGGCAGTATTTCAAAAGGTTTCTCCGCAACTCCGATGGGAGAACAAAAATGCGCTAAAGAAGTATAATCACCGTGTATTGTATGCATACAGTGTCTGTTCAGAAAACCAGCTACATGTATAAGCCAATTCAAGGTAAGTGAATGTGTTAGTATTCCATGCGTACCTGTACGTTCTGAAGAATTCATTTCATCTGTGACACCATCTATTCTGGAGGACACAACAGCAGGGGCATTACCGTACATAGGTTTCCACTCTTTCCCTCTCCACATCAATATCTGTTCATCATCAAATGACAATAGCACACACGGGACTAATTCCTGTCATTGGAAGTAGAAATTAGTGAAGACCATGTCTAATTTAAAGAACAGAAGTATCCGAAACCAGAAGAGCTGTTCAAGTATGCCCAAGATTGATAGATACTTTTCCCTCTTCAAGAATGTGGATATCAAATTCTGATTTCAGTCAGTAATGTTTGCCACTGGAACAAAAAATTCATATGCTTTGCGAACAAACAAACAGTAAATTTCTAATTCACAAGAAAAATCTTAATCTTAACCAGAGTATCTCAGAGGCTACAAGGTCTTGATTGATTAGCCACACATTTCATAAACTGTAGATACGCCCAAACACAGTGCAAGCTCCTATTTTGCTAAATCTTACTACTTGTCTTGGCAATATGATTGCATAACTCTGAAGGATAGTAAAGTAGTGCAACAAAATGTAAGAGAGATCTTAAGAAATATTTTATAGTGCTGCACTGCTCTAATTCCACAAAAGCCAAAGTCATGCATGGATTTATACAGCAATATAAATTAAATATCAAGCGACTGTTTAATGAAAGAATAAGGAGAGGAATAAGCTTAAACCTTTAACTTAGCTCCTATCTTCTTATAATCACTTGCATGCATCCCCCGACAATCAATCTTCACTAGTGGACAAGCTTCAAATGCACTTCTCACGTCTCTAACTAACGTAAGGTAGACTCCATTTTTAGCTGCGAAGGCAGATACCCAAGTTCTTCAAAATGAGTCAGAATGCAAACATAGGTGATAAAAAGTCCAATGTACACACATAACAAATGTGAAAACTTTGCCTAGTTGGAAAGCACAGGAAACTGATCATAACCACAGGAAAAGCATATCAAGCTAGTTTTTATACAAAGAAAATAAAGAAACTGCACATCAAAATTTCTAAATAAACAGACCAGTCAAAGATGAAGTTGGAGGACCTTGTCTTTTACTTTGTTTATATTGCAAAATGCGTCTTATGTAGATTTAGAAAACTAACCCACAGAGCCTTTAAACTTTTTAGGTTCAAGGATTGGAAAATAAGAGATATATTGGCATACATTCAGTTGCTTCAAGAAAAATAAAAGCTTTAGAATACTCTCTCCTTCAATAACAATTAGTTAGACTTAGTGGTCAGGAACTGAGAAGCAAAAGAT